AATTAAAAAAAGTAGGTACTGTCGTATGTGAAAGTCTGTAGTCGGTTTGCTATTCTAAGAGCTGTTTATCCCGGTGTGGACCGTTTTTTTTGTTTTCGCTGGGGAAACCCATCATGGGGACCATGCTGGCCGTCATAACGGGCAAGGTACTGTGAGAGTCCTACTCACTAAAACCCACAGCGGAACCCTTCGCCGCAGTGCAATGGGGCGTTGCAGGATCGCTTGCGCACATACTACAACACCCCTGATCCCGATGTGGACCTACCACCATGTTGCACGGCGGTACTTAGGAATTTTCTGTTCTATTCACACTTTTACGAAATTTTAATGTCTGAGTAATGTCTGTACATTCGGAAATTGTCACTGACCTGTTCACACTCCTTGCTCCATATGAAACTCATTTTTAAGGACTATCTTCTATACGGTGCGGTATATTGAAAATGTCCAGCCTGTTCAAAAATTCAACCACACCAGATACTTGAACACAACGTCTTCACACAGCCACTGATACGACACTAATCAATCAATCAAAATATACTTTATTCAAATTGACTTTTACAAGCACTTTTGAATAGTCAATTTTACATTTTAAATTTAAATTCAATGTGTAGGCAGTCTGTGAGGCATCTACCACCGGCTCGGAAGGCAGTTCTGCTGAGAAAAGCCGCCGAGAAACTTAAAAATTGCTTTTTTTAAATATACCTACTAATTTACAATATATCAATACAATAATCATATTCTTATCCTGCATGAGTATCAACTATCAGCTTTTAGTAATCCTATACATTTGCATTCCAAAGTATACCGCGACGGAATAATATGTTTGGTATCCATATAATTAATACAACGATTTTAGATTCACAATTATTTATTTGCGTTACGAGAGATCTTTTGTTCTATATGTACCTACAATATCAATAGCAGCAACATAGCACCGCTCGGCCCTGATAATATTATCACAGTTTTACAATGGATTTTAAAACTGTGTTAATATGCAGTCGAAGACATACATATTAATATATTGTGCATGTTTTAGAATGGAATGCGTGTTTGTCTGTGTATTTTTGGATTTTATTCTTGTAAATTATAAAGCAAGTAATAATAATTGTAGTTTTAGGTTGTCTTATGTTTTGATGCATATAGAGGTGGACCGTGAATTTGGAGGGGCTCTGGGCTAACCCTTCGTGAGGGTCTATATGACAATTAGTTTAATTAATTAGAATTAAACTAAATGTAATTTTGTCTTTAAAAAATCTATAATGATAGATGATAACTAGACGAAATAAAGATAACGCTATTGTTTGGTTTTGGTTAATTGATCTCGGGGTTATCTATTAGGCCAACTTTTTCACAATATGATCCATTGCTTTTTAAAGAGGCCCGGTATATCTGGGACCTGGGCTGCAGCCTAAAAAGCCCATATATAGATCCGCTCCTTTTTTTTTTTAACGTTGGGAAATGCATTTACGCACGACGTGTGGGACTCACCGGCGTTATACAGGCAGTACTACCCACTAAAACCCAACAAAACCTTCCCCCGTCTTAATGGGGCGTCGCAGGATCGCTTACGCATTCAACTACGACGCCCCGACGGTAGGTCTGCCAAAGCAGACCACCACAACCATGGGGTTGCTCCAAGGTCCACTCTGCTATCAGAGAAGTACCAGGAGCAACCCGCAAGGTACACCGCCCCCCGAAGAGGGCCACCTCCCACCGCCCACCGAAGTGGGCAACCTCCCTGTGCGTTTCTTAGCTTCGCGCCCGGTTGGATTGCCGAGCACTACTAAGCCCCCCCACCACGACAAGGTGAACGCACGTTGGGGGGGGGATATAGATCCGCTCCTGAATGCATAATAATATATGTACATGAACGAATTAGCCACTTCGTTCATGTACCTATATGTATTATTAAAATTTAATAAAATTCATAATTGAATGCAGTCAAAACGTCCAGAAATAAAATTCAAAATGGAATGTTAAATACATCAATTAATGCAAATCAAAGAATATAATATTTTATGCTTTACTACAATATGTGGAACTAATCAGAATCGAAATCATACGATTGTGTAATTGAAACACACTATGCATATTATATAGTTTATTTCAATTTAATAATGCATGTAAATGTTTTTAGTAAATAATAAGTGTTTTAATAAGTATATGTTCTGAAACATTCAAGTATACGCGTCAGCCGGGCACAACGTAAAATATGATTTTAAAAATAAGTCAGTATATATTTTTTAACATTCATATAATTTTTTAATTCAGATTATATGTTTTGCCGTTTGCGATATTTTTGAAATGGTCTACTTTCTTTTCTTCTATGCTCTTCTTCATCTTACGTTGGTCAATCACTTTATCAGCCTCTTTTATATTATTTGCCTTATAGATATTTTCTTCTCGCAGTTTATTAAAGAAATGATCTTAGTTTATAAATATCCAGCACGTACTTTTTAAGGTCCGGCCTTAGCCTACCACGCTGACCAAGTGCGGGTTGGCGGACTACACGTGTCTTTCGAAAACTTGCTAGGTTCTCTCAGACTGACAGTTTTTCTATTGTTGAAGTTTTACTTCACCGTAAGGTAAGGTAGTAGATCAGAGATGTGAGACCCAGGATTTGAACCTGCTTCCCTCGGTTTTCCAAACGAGCGCGTTACCAGAAGGTTACCACTGCCTTAAATATTCTGTATCTGCCGGATATTTTGTTACTATCCGGTATCCGGCTGGATAGGAAAATAACGCCGGATAGGTCGGATACCGCATAGTTACTGAATATCTGTTCCATCTCTTAATTCTTTAAGTTCAAGAATAAGCAACTGAAGGGTTAAATTAAAAAAAGTAGGTACTGTCGTATGTGAAAGTCTGTAGTCGGTTTGCTATTCTAAGAGCTGTTTATCCCGGTGTGGACCGTTTTTTTTTGTTTTCGCTGGGGAAACCCATCATGGGGACCATGCTGGCCGTCATAACGGGCAAGGTACTGTGAGAGTCCTACTCACTAAAACCCACAGCGGAACCCTTCGCCGCAGTGCAATGGGGCGTTGCAGGATCGCTTGCGCACATACTACAACACCCCTGATCCCGATGTGGACCTACCACCATGTTGCACGGCGGTACTTAGGAATTTTCTGTTCTATTCACACTTTTACGAAATTTTAATGTCTGAGTAATGTCTGTACATTCGGAAATTGTCACTGACCTGTTCACACTCCTTGCTCCATATGAAACTCATTTTTAAGGACTATCTTCTATACGGTGCGGTATATTGAAAATGTCCAGCCTGTTCAAAAATTCAACCACACCAGATACTTGAACACAACGTCTTCACACAGCCACTGATACGACACTAATCAATCAATCAAAATATACTTTATTCAAATTGACTTTTACAAGCACTTTTGAATAGTCAATTTTACATTTTAAATTTAAATTCAATGTGTAGGCAGTCTGTGAGGCATCTACCACCGGCTCGGAAGGCAGTTCTGCTGAGAAAAGCCGCCGAGAAACTTAAAAATTGCTTTTTTTAAATATACCTACTAATTTACAATATATCAATACAATAATCATATTCTTATCCTGCATGAGTATCAACTATCAGCTTTTAGTAATCCTATACATTTGCATTCCAAAGTATACCGCGACGGAATAATATGTTTGGTATCCATATAATTAATACAACGATTTTAGATTCACAATTATTTATTTGCGTTACGAGAGATCTTTTGTTCTATATGTACCTACAATATCAATAGCAGCAAAATTAACAAGAGCGTAGGTACATGTTCAAACGACGTAACAATTAAAACGGTCAACTCAATCGGTGTTGCCTAGTAAATATTTTAGTCGCCACATATATTTTGCTCAATAGTATATTTTTAATTTTTCACTTAAATTGTTCAACTTGCAAGCTCAATATAGAGTGTAGAACGGCTAATTGTACCATCGCAGGTACTGAGTACAAATAGTTCTGAGTGAAAGCTTACATATGTGTTCAAACACATTTGTATATCGCAAATTGAGATTATTTTTTGTTAACTATTACATTTCTATTTCTTTATTTTACTAAGTGTATGGTTCAAGCTGCGGCATCAAAAAAGATGTCTAAATCTGACCAATCAGTGAACATTTCACAATTTAACGGCTTTTATTATCTAGTGAAATTGTCAAAATTCCTTTGATTCACAATACTACAGAATATGCTTAGGGAAATTATAATATACCTAAAAATGTCTCGTGATATTGTAAGAGAAGGAGAAGATCGACAATACTTCGGGTGATTATAATTTCACTAGTGAAATTATGATTTTACGCTTTTTACAGTTTCCCTGCGTTTCTTTGTCTAAACCGGCCCTAACGAAGGAGCGAAATGCAATAATGGATTACCTAAGTCAAGAATATCGTACTACTATTTTATAACTCGTGTGAGATAATCGTAATTCAAAAGTCCGCCATCTAAATAATCCAAAAGTAGAACTTCGGTAGATTGCCAACGTTTCGGTATTCGATGAATGGAATTATCGCGTTATAGTTATAAAAAAATGGTTGATAAACAGATACCTACGAGTTACATCCACACTTCTTTTACTTATCATATACCTGCGAAATGCCTATATTCATTATCACAGAGTCTAAAATGCCTAATTATCTGAACGCATAAGCGTTACTTATGTACGGGCTTATCGTGGTCAACGTAATAAAGCCCTTGAAATGCGAAAGTTTGGATGGAACGGATCTGGATGAAGATGGCACAAAGATAGATTAGTCTGGAATAGCACATAGGTTACTTTTTATCCCGAGGAAAATATACGGTTCCCGTGGGATAGATTTATTTTTCACAGAGTTTTCAAATCCATACTAACTGTCAAAACGTACTTAGGTACGAACCCATTTTTTTTTGTTTTTTTTTTAACGTTGGGAAATGCATTTACGCACGAGGTGTGGGACTCACCAGCAAAGCCAGTACTACCCACTAAAACCCAACAAAACCTTCCCCCGTCTTAATGGGGCGTCGCAGGATCGCTTACGCATTCAACTACGACGCCCCGACGGCAGGTCTGCCGAAGCAGACCACAACAACCACGGGGTTGCTCCACAGTCCACTCTGCTATCAGAGAAGTACCAGGAGCAACCCGCATGGTACACTGCCCTCCGAAGAGGGCCACCTCCCACCGCCCACCGAAGTGGACCACCTCCCTGTGCGTTTCTTGGCTTCGCGCCCGGTTGGGTTGCCGGGCACTACTGAGCCCCCCCACCACGACAAGGTGAACGCACGTTGGGAGGGACCTAGGTACGAACCCAAAGCGAAGCGTTGGTAAGTCGCAGGTGTATGATAAAATTGCGAGCTTTTAATTAAAATACCTACTTCTATTTATTTTCAATTATCCTGATATTTTGAAAATTTTCTATGTTGAATATTTTTATTAGAAAAAAAAAACATTTGGTAAAAGCTTATAAAATTCATTAGAAAAGTGTTAGTTAGACAGACATACTGGCATATTAAAACATTGTAAAAATTTGATGCATATTTTATTATACAGGTATAATATTCCTCATTGGGGTCTCCGTTTCCTATACAATAAAGTTACCGCCATGCTGGTGCCATAAAATATTGAAGCCGGTGTGCGGTTCGGACGGGAAGACTTACAGCAACGAATGTGACTTTGAATGCGAGAAGATAACAAAGCCAGATTTAACTGTTGTCAAGCAAGGAGAATGTGACGCGTATATGCGCGTGCTATCCTATATGGATTCCGGTGTGCGGTTCGGACGAGAAGACTTACGAAAACGAATGTTTCCTTGAATGCCAGAAGAGAACAAACCCAGATTTAATGTTCTTCAAGCACGGAGAATGCGATGATGAACCCTCATGTATGTGTCCTTTAGTGTATAACCCTCTCTGTGGAACGGACGGCAAGACTTATTCCAACGAATGCGTCTACAAATGCGAAACATATAAAAAGAATGTTGACATAGCATATAGGGGAGAATGTAAAAAAAAGATGGTGAAAGGTTTGATTGCTTCGTGTATGCTGATTCCTATTGAAACAGAAATAAACTAAGATTACAAGTGTTAAAATTGATTAAATGTGTCTGAAGCAAATAACTAATTGTTATCTACATTTACAGTTTGTAAAGAAGCAATAATAAGAAATAGGAAAATCCAGATTACTATTATTTACTATTTTCCGCCTCGAACAATGACAGCTTAATAAAACATAATTGCCTACAATTGATTTAATACGAGTTTATAGTGACCCTACTTGTTATGCCAGTGATCGCGGGTTCGAATCTCGCTGGGGGCATTCATTTGTGTGATGAGCACGAATGTTTGTACTCCAGTCATGAGTGTTTATATATATAATATGTATGTATTTAAAGTTATATATTATGTGTAGTGTATTAACTATCTAGTATCCATAACACAAGCCTTGCAGCTTACCATGGAATAACATGGTGCTGTGTGTTAATGTCATAACCTATTTATTAATTTATTATGTAGTGCCATGAAATAATTTTTTTTAATCAATAAAATATTGAACATATAGGTTTATCTATTATTATAGATTATAATGTGATCTTATTTTTAATAAATGTACAAATAGGAGCAATTTTAAAGTCTTTTTGCAGGGCTTATTGTATTCAGCCCTTTTTAACGTCCCACGGCTGGGCACAGGCCTCCGTTCAATATGAGGGGGATCAGGCCATAGGGCTTATTGTAAGTAACTATAACTAACACCTTTCACTCCAAATAATTCAAACATATTAAATAATTAATTATTATAATTGTTGTTATTTTGCCCATAGCAAAACGATGTTTTAACTTTATTACTGTACTTGTTTTGCTTATTTAAAGTGTTTTAATCTGTACATCCAATACTTAAAAAAAACAATGACTGTTACTAATTGTGTAGAATATAGACCCCAAACCAACAATTAAAAATTATGTCTGTTTGTTTGTATACCCCTGCGTTTCACGCAAAAAGTACTGAACACTCGTTCAGTCACAATTTTTTTTGTAGTATTTTTATAATATTTTTACTTCAGGAAAATCTTTTATTTATTCTAACGGGAAAACACTATAACTGTTTATGTCGAGTCGTCCTTAAAAAAATCTTGGCTAACGCTGACTAAACCTAGATAACATCGAAACAATGTACTAGAAAATTGTAAATCTTAAAAAGGCCTAATAAACAGAAATGTCCGCAATATTCATTATATCTATCTCCTAAGGTACATCACTCGTAATAACTACTTATAACTCACATCCCAGCGAAGCGAGGCGTAAGTTTCTAGTAACAAATATATTACAACAGTAAATAAATATTTTATAATTACATTATTTCTAATTGGAAAAAGAAAAAAATATTATATTTAAAGTAAAGTACTTTTAATAATTTGATTATAAATGTAGCACCGTGAAAAGTGTCTACTGAGGTTGTTATTAATTAATAATTACCTAATCAATAATCATCTATACAGATAAATAAAATTGAAGTGTCTATTTGAAATGTCAAAATAACAGCGTTTTACTAAATGCATATGAGATTATATACGGTACTTATAAGAAAAATACATATTTTGTAAATTTTTGGCTGTTTGTCTGTCTGTCTCTTTGTTCCGGATAATCTCTGAAACAGCTGGACTGATTTTGACGGGACTTTCACTGGAAGATAGCTGATGTTATCGGGAGTAACATAGGCTACTTTTATTTTAGAAAAAGAATCAAGGTTCCGCTCAAAAAAATCAAAACGTACCTAGGGACGCGAGCGAAGCGAGGGTGAGTCGCTAGTTAAAACATAAAAATTTTGCCCTTGTCGCTGTCCGTGTTAGAGGACCAACACATGAATAAATTAAAGCACTGTAATTTTACTTTTAGTCATTCTAATTTTCGTATTAAACAGAACTTTTATTTTAGGGTAGTTTAAAATATCATGAAACATGGACGTGCTATGTACGTAAAAGTTCATCAATGTTTATTTAATAACCTGGAAGAATAGCATTATGAGTTTTCAAAATACCTGACGACAGTTTAAATGAAATATTTTAATGAAATTGTAGCGCAATGTTCATTTTTAATTTTAATTAATTTTAAATATTCTTGTGACAGGTATATACTAAATTAGACTAAAAAAATCCGCCTCTTTGACACTTTTGATTTTTATTGGGTTGAATTAAATTGGTGTGTTTATATTATAAAGTTTAAATATTTGTGTTAATTATAATTCTTTTTATTTTAACACATTGACATTTTTTTTCATTTTACCTGTGTTCGCATTTACGCAATGATGCGGGCAGACGGCAGCGTATCTAATAATTAACACGGGTTAATTCTGTTAAAGAAATTACGCAACGTTGTAACAAATTATCGTGGTCAACGATGAAGTGAGAAGTTAAGTACCTATTCTGTTATTTTAAAATATTCTAATTTTAATAAAAAAATCCTCTATCCAATATTTTTATTACTAAAATACGTTTTGTAAAAACTTTTAAATGCTTTAATAATAATACAATTTTATTACTCGTAGAATGCATATTTGACCTATAATTGTATTTTTCAATCATTTTTGGGGTTCCTTATCCAAACGGTGCCAACGGAACCCTATTACTAAACCTCCGCTGTCCGACCGTCCGTTTGTTAGAGGGCTGTATCTATCTCATGAACCGTAATAGGTAGAGAGTTGAAATTTTCAGAATGTGTATTTCTATTACCGCTATAAAAACAAGTAAATAAAATAAATAAATAAAAATTCATTCGTCGAAGTTAATATACTACCTACATAAATAGAGTAAAAGTGATATTTAAGTTAATAGTACACGTACGATGGTACGGAACCTTGAACCCAATTTTTTTATTTTTTAACTCGATACCTTCGAATTGTTCTATCACAACAATCTGCCCAAATTCACTAAACACTGCGATTTCTATAATAATAATAATGACTTTCTTTAAACAAACTATGAACAAATTTATACAAAACGTACCCATATTTAAATATAATTTCCAAGTATTGAATTATATAAATAAGCGCTTTCGCAGGAACAGTTTGTTTATTGACGCATGGGTATTTACTTTGACAACAGAACCTTAGCGGGAAAATATTATTTCAGATATAAAATGCCACGTCGAGTGTCTGTCATCGTTCAGTAGTCTAGAGCATCTCGAGTGAATACTTGTTAGTGATTTAAATCTTATTTAAACATTTCCCGTATGAACAAAATGATTTACCGATTTGGTAAGTTTTTTATCTGTGTTTTTAAATGTTTTTTTTTATTATATTTGTTATATTATTGTAAAGTTTCATTAAAATCCAATCAGTAGGTTTTGTGTACTAAGCTGTATAAGTTACTATAGATGTTTAACGATCCCACGGGAACTCTTTAATTTTTCGGGATGAAAAGTATCTAAAATGTTGACCAGGGATATAAGGTACCACCGTACAAAATGTCATTTAAATCGGTCCAACAGTTTCGGAGATTAGCCCGTACAAACAGACAGAGAAACAAAACAATCTGGATTTGTTCTATTTCTCTTCTTACATCCCCCTGATGCGGTTTTCAGCATTTTTTTCTTTCTATGTACAGACATTCGACCTCTACATATTTATTATATGTATAGATATTACCTATAGGGAAAGAAAAGGCTGTATCGATGGTACCTAAGAGTAGGTACAAACTATTCCCTTTAAATAATTTCTTGATTGTATTGTTACAATAATTTCTAATTTAACTTATTTCGTATAATCTTATAAATTAATCAGTGAATATTTAAAATATAACAATGGCACAAGTTTAGTAGGTATATGGGACGCGCCCTTTGGAGGAGTGTTTTGTATTTTTGATGAGTGTCTGATAGTTTAAAGGGTTGGTTGATGTGAGTGATTTCACATTAGGTAACATATTTATTATGAGTTTTCCATTTTTCAAAGAAAGAAAAATTATATTGACTAGGTACTAATATAACATACTAGCATTATACTAGCAAAAACCAAATTCTAAGGTTTTACATATTATTATAGTACTCTTACAATGCAATTTTTGTATTTTTTCTCAGAAATTAGATATTTTCGCGGGGTAAAAAGTAACCTATATGTTGACCCGGATAACCAGCTATCACCATACTAAATTTCATCAAAATCCCTTCAGTGGTTTTTCTGTGATGCGGTGGCAGACAGACAGACAAAAATTCTAAAAACTATAGACTCGGCCTCTGTATCGATAATAGTGTTTATTTCAATAAGATTTTCCAAAATTCGGCTTAGTTACAATTTTACTATATGTATAGATTAATACTAATTTAAATCATATAATAGAAAAATAAGAAATAAACCACGTATACAGTATACACCTTAAAGGCATACTGTATGTTAGCTAGAAGTAAGAAGTGCTAATGAATTACATACTTATTCACATTGAACTGGACCTAAAAGTCAATAAACAGTCTATATGATATTTAATCACTGCAACCTTCGAAGTTAAAACAACAATAATATGCAAATATAAACACAATAATAACGAATCAGTGAGATAAACTGTGGCGTAATTACGAGCCGAGAAAACAAAAATTAAATTATTATATTTATAGTACCCACTATGTAACTGTTTATTATTAAATTACCTATCATTAATATAAAAAAAAGTATAAATTGTTTCAAATGCTAGCGACAAAGTTTATATTGGTATTTAACGAAAAACTAATATTATAGTAATCAATATTTCACTCATATCTAGCAATTTTATATACTCGTATAGATATTTATTAAGTATCTATGCTTTATTTTTCATATTAAAGCAAAACAGAAGCGACATTATATATGTATAGTTCAATACTATGAGGACCTCGTGCATTTTATAGTCATTTAAATCTATTAGTTATATTGACAAAAGTAGATCTGTAAAATATTTTTTTTTATTTATTCAGGTATAATATTCCTCATTGGGGTTTGCGTATCCTATACAACAGCGTTACCGCCATGCGTGTGCACGAGGAATATGAAACCAGTTTGTGGCTCCGACGGAGAGACTTACAGCAACGAATGTATGCTTCGATGCCAGAAGGAAACAAAACCAGACTTAACTCTCGTCAGACCCGGAGCGTGTGACGAAGAACCAATATGCTTTTGCACTTTTGAGTTTAACCCTATATGTGGAACAAACGGCGTAACATACTCTAATGAATGCTCGTTGAAATGTGAAAGACAGAAGGTTGATATCGCATATAGAGGAGAATGTAGACAAAAGCGAGAACAGCCATGCATTTGCTCTAGACATAAATCTCCAGTGTGCGCTTCCAATGGCAACACTTACAGTAATGAGTGCATGATGCGGTGCGCAGACGCCGATCTTACGGTAGTCAAGCATAAATCATGCGATTCTTAATATCTGAAGCTTTAACATATTATATGTGTTGCAATTATAATTTATTATAACTTAGCTTTAGATTTATTCCGTCTACCTTTTGCTAATGCTGAATAATAAAACGTTTATTAAATATTTTGTTTTTTTTATTAACCTGGCCTCAAATAAATTAATGTCATGAGTGCTTATCGCGCTTGTATTCGCCACTAGATGCGCTAGTGTAGAATGAGGTCTCTATAATATAAGAATAAAAAGATAGATAATATTTAATTATTGATTAGCATAATCGATGTTTATTGTAGTAGTTATTTCGTTTTTAATTTAAAAATAAATAGTACATTCTTCGTATTTAAAAATATATTCAATTGATGATTCCCAAAAAAATAATTATTAATAATTAGGTATTCTTCTGGTATCTAAATATTAATTAATATTATATAAGTTATTTTATTTTAATTATCAATTATTCTAAATATTCTAATAATGTTTATCAGAATAAAAAAAATCATCGATTTTTATTTTATTTTAGATGTCAATGAAGATAAATTAAAATAATAAAATCGTGTATTATAATAAAATAATAATAGGCAGATAAAAATAATAAAACAAATTTTCTATACAAATGTTATATTGTACAAAAATAAGTTTAACAATATACACAACTATAATTTAACAGAAAATATTTACATTAAAAACTCTTACTGTACAAATGATGGTAGCAATTTACAAAGTTTAACAATGAAAATTATTAAGCGTAATATTTAAGAGACAATATACAACCCATTTTAACTCAAATCGCAAAAAACTAAATTAATTAACATAATAACACTTTGTTTTTAAGAAATGAACGCAAAAATATTGTTTGATATACAAAGAAAATGAACAGTGTTAGGTACTATATGTTTTAATCTATACAGAGAAATAAAATTGAAGTGTCTGTTTGTAATGTCAAAATAATGACTTTTTATTAAATGCATATGTTATTATATACGGTAGGTTAATAAGAAAAACACAATTTTTAATTTTTTTACTAGACAGACAACTGACTGTGATCCGGTTAATTTCCAAAACGGCTAGACTGATTTTGATGGGACTTTCACTGGCAGATAGCCGATGTTATAAGGAGTAACGTAGTTAACTTTTATTTTAGAAAAAGAATTATGGTTCGGCTAAAAAATGTAACTAGGGGCTCATCCGAGCGAAACGAGGGTAAATCACTAGTATCAACTAAAATTCAATAATTTTAATGTGTTACCAGAACGAAACACAAAAAATGTACATAAGTAATTGAACTTAAGAATATTACTGAATGATCGTTTATTTTTTGGCATTACTACAATAAATTTATTATCTATACTTAATATTATAAAGAGGTAAAGTTTGTGAGTTTGTGACGTTGTAGGGGTAATGTCTGGATCTACTGAACCGATTAAAAGTTTGTACTTTGTATGGGGAATCAAGCTAGCGACGAACCTGAGCGAAGCGAGAGTGAGTCGCTAGTATAGTATACATTAAATACATGGCAGATACTTGATAATATCAAAAAAATATAAAAAAATATTTCGACACAAAATTGATACAAAAAAATTAGGTACCAGCTTTATTTATTTTTTGTACTTTAATATTAAATAATATAAAGTTCTATACAAAACTACATACCTTTATAATACCATACGGAATAGCTGTAATAATAAATAATATTGTTTGATAAACATCACATTGCTTATAGTATTTAAAAAAATCAATATTTTTTTATATATCCATGTCAATTCCCGCTAAAAGGTCGTCATCTTCGTCGTAGTTCAAAATGAATTCATCTATTTCATCAAAAGTCTCCGAGTCTGTTGACTTTGTCTCTTTATTTTGCGTGTTTGTTTTGGAGCCTGTTTGTGAATTTGTTGGTGTGACTGGCTCTGTTTTTATATTCACAGCAGATTTACGTATATTAGTTCCAGGTATAAAGTCGTTTTTATTTTTAGTGGGTTTCGGAGATAAGTAATTTGTAATGTTGCTTTTGCTTTCCTATAAAATAAAAAAAAAATACTAAGACACGTACTAATAAACAGCTATTATTATAAAACTTTGTTAGATTTACGCGAATATTTGACATTAATAAAATGTCTCCCGTGACCATGATCGCTGTAAAACATTCGAAACGTTGGGAACCAAAAATCAAAATAAATCCGCAAAAAAATTCGAAAAGATAGTTATTTTGAGATATTATTTGGAGCAGAATAGATATTGGTAATAAATATCTGAAAGAATTATTTATAATTACCAACCTGATGCTTGACGGTGGTGTCCTCGAAGGTTTCTCCCGTGAGACCGACGTCATTTAATACCTACATAATATACGAAACGATATGTTTAATTTATACTAATATTATAAAGAAGTAAAGTTTGCGGGTTTGTGGGTTTGCGGGTTCGTGACGTTGTAGGGGGTAATATCTGGATCTACTGAAACGATTTAGATAAAATTTGATAAGAAGATAGTTTGAGACCGCTGAGTTTCTTTCGCCAGTTCTTCTCAGGTCGGAGGCTTCTTCTTTCCGAACTGGTAGTAGACTCATGACGTTCAGTAAAAAAATGTAATAATTTGATGCTGAATAAAATATTTTGATTTTTTGATTTTTTTAGAGATCCTGTAAAGGATAAGGACATAGGATACTTTTTATCCCGGAAATCATCTCTTAAGATGGTGAAAATGGAGATAAAAGTTTGTACAGGAAATCAACCAACAACGGGACGAACCCGAACGAAGCAAGGGTGAGTTGCTAGTCTATACAGATAAAATGGAAGTGTCTGTTTGTAATGTTAAAATAACAGCTTTTTACTTAATGCATATCAAAGTGTATATGATAGGAACTAAATACTAATAAGAAAAAAAAACAATTTATAAAAATTTTGACAGTCTGTTTGTATCAGCTAATTTTCGAAACGACTGGACCGATTTTAATGAGACCTTCACTGGCAGATAGCTATTTTATAAGGTGTAATTAGGGCTACTTTTATTGAAACCTTTTTTAAACCCATGAAATTGTGAACAAAATTTTTGCACCTAGGGACGCTAGGGTAAGATGCTATTATATAAATAAATTATAGTCATAGCAAGCAATTTTTAATACAAAATAATCAATGGCTCCGCGCGTTATCGGCTTGCTCCAATTTTACAGAAAGAACTGATTAATTATGAATGTGATAAATAGTATAGTGAATACTAGCGTCTCACCTCCTCGCTTCGTTAGCGTCCGTCCCTAGGTACGTTTTAAATTAAAATGGATATAGTATGTTATCCTTAAGAGATAGACATAGGCCATCCCGGACTTTTCTGTAGACCTATATAAGATACACATTTCCACCATACTTTCCTTGAGAACCACTGTATCCATTTACGAAAACAGCATGAAAATCGGTGTAGTAGTTTTTGAGTTTATCGCGAACAGACAGATAGACAGACGTGGCGGAGGATTTTGTTTTATAATATGTAGTGATAAATGACGTTTTTATTACTACATATTATGGCACGCTGTGCAGTGCGCATGCGTGTGTGTGTGTGTGCTCACGTGCAGCTTGCCGCACAGCATGGGCCACACGGCGTCGTCGGCGCAGGCGCGCGCCAGCAGGTAGCGCGCCACCACGGCGCCGCCGCCCAGCCGGTGCGCGCGCGCCTCCGCCTGCGTCAGGACCTGATTCATACGACCACATCTGAATTAACGCTCACTTATTGGAATAAACACAATATTATATTATATTCAGGCAATACCCGCGGCTTCGCCTGCGTTTAAACTACTAAAAAAACAAACTCTGAAACATTTTCTCGGGAACGGGTGGACAGTTGTTAGCGAGTTGAAATTTATACCAGATACTGAGGTCTATAGTCCATATTAGGTGTATAAAAATCAAGGTCCTGAGTCAACACTATAAAGAGATATGGGTAAATTAAATTTTCGCAAAAACTTGTAAGTACCAAAATTTACCATAATTTTCAACTTTTTTATTTTTCGGAATTTTCCCTTAACTTGTGCTGTAATACCTTGCTTTAACCAAAATTGACAATTCTAGGTCAACCGGAAGTACCCTATAGACTTTGAGTCGAAAACTTATATGGTAGTTCCCTTGACCTAGAATCACGAAATCTGGCAAAAAGCAAGGTCTTACAGCACAAATAAAGGAAAATACAAAAAATAAAAAAAAGGTGAAAATTAAAGTTGAACAGATTTCCTACTTTGTACGGTTGTTTGTATCCCCGGTGGGCGAGTCTGACTCGCGCTTGTCCGGATTTTTTTTAATTTTAGTATGTAGTAAGCACAGCGCTGCGGCAACACTCACGCCGGGGTTCCAGTGCAGCTCGGCGAAGAGCACGAGCGCGGCGGCCGTGAGCGAGAGCCCCGCGCCCGCCGCCGTCACGGACAGCACGGCCGCGCGCACCCCCCGCGACACCTGGAACCGCGACACCAGCTCCTGCACCGCGGGACACGACACATACGTACTATATACATATATACTAACTAGCATAACCCACGGCTGAGCCTGCGATGAAACTACTAAAAAACAAATTCTTTGACACACCGACTGCAGCACCACCTACCGGGTCCAATTGTGTTTTCAAACCATCCAGGTGCATATTGAAATATACACACAAAATTTCATCCAAATCGGTCCAGCGCTTTAGGAGGAGTAAGGTGACAAATACATGTACAGAAAAATTATAATTATATTAAGATATGTGACATTAACACAGCACCATCTAGTTCCATGGTAAGCTACGAGGCTTGTGTTATGGATATCAGATTGTTGAAGCACTACACATACATATTATAAATATATAGGCACTGACTTCAAAAATATCTGATTAGTTATCTATTCTAAATAAAAATCCCCGTTTAGTTATTTTTTACATTTTAGTGCCTGAAAGTCGTTTTTTAAGTTTTTATTAGTTTTTAATGTCTGAAAGTCGATTTAAATTTTTTTAAGTTTTTTTTTAATTCCCATTTCCTTACAAACATCATTATACAATCTATAATCTCAAAACAAACAAACAACCACTCACGGCTCTCATATTAGCGGGCGTAGATCCCACGATGCAAATAAATTCAGTGTGGGTCTCCATCAACGTGTTGCATATCGCCTCGATCATGTTGCGATGATGTGCGAACACTAGGAACTTGCCGTCGTACTCTTTTAACGTCTGCTTTATATACTTGCTGGAATAAAATAACAACTTTTAACCTAAAGAGGTACACAAAGTGATTAATCTACTAATATTTTCAATTCATTAGTACTAAAAAAATATTTTAAAATCAGTTCCAAAATAGCGTAGATATAGTGTGTAACCCGAATTGAGTAAATATCCGTATTTTGTTCTGTAGTTTATAGAATACAATATTTGCCCGCAACACCGCTCTCATAATTTCTTAATGCTTTTCTCAATAACATTCCTTAATAAATCTATCTAAATAAAAATAAATGTTTGTTTGTATGTTTGTCCTCAATACATTCCTCAACCATTCATCTCTTTATATATATATATTTTGGGTTCGTGACGTTGTAGGGGGTAATCTCTGAATCTACGATAGCGATAGCGATTTCGATGAAATTTCGTGAGAAGATATTTTGAGACCCTGGGATTGACATAAGATACTTTTGATCCCGGAAATCATCTCTTTTCAATCATCAAAATATTATGAATTTGAAACATTGTAGATAATTCTTACCATACAGCAGGTATTTTCACGGCAGCTGTTTTACTGAAGTAAGTGATGAGGGCGGCGTGCTTGGCCGTCGACGTCGACTTCTTATACGTTTCGGCCATTTGCGATAAACACTTTTCATCTACTTCTGCGTAGTTTAATAGATTTTGATCCAAATATACAGACTCCCTGAAAATCATTTTGATAATAAATTTCAATTTGTTTAAACAAAAAAAATCATAGAGTTTCGTCAGGGAGAAAGAACAATTTATTCAGATAAATATCAATAATAGAAATACGCTGAATCTCCAAGCTTAAATAGCAGTGGGCAGGATACATCACTTTAAAAACGTATGGTCGTTGGGGACGAAGAGTTTTCAATTAAGGCCAAGCGTGAGCCTCCCATAAGGTGGACCGACGACTTGGACAATAAAATAATATATTACTTTATTCAATTAGACTTAATATAAGCAGTTTTGAATTAAGATGCCGCAAGAATCACATATGAATGGCACAAGACCGGCAGGCGTAGAAATCTTTGGGGAAGACCTAAGTTCAGTTGTGAAAGTGTTTCGGTTGACACGAAACAAAATGTCAATAGATGACATTATATGTATCGATTTGTTATTTTACAAAACAACAAATTAAAAAACAATAAAAGGCAAAAATTGCAAGAAGGTATATTATGGTTTTAAAAAATATGATACATTCTTAGCTATCCTTGTGAGGGTAGTAGCAGACTGGATTGTGAAAGCCCTTAGGAGTAGGTTTTTTGTGAGAAAAGGGTTAAGGTCTACCAACAAAAAAAAAGAGTGCGTGTATGAATGTGTACAACCAGCAAGAAGTAAAACATCTTTAGGTGTGGTGTAGTGGCTAGCATGTACGGCTGCACACCCGGAGGTCCTGGGTTCGAGTCCCGATTCGGGCCAAGTTTAGTTATTGAGTCTTTCTGTATAGTAAGTCTCAGTAACAGCCCGTAGTTGGGAAGTTGGCGGTGTTTCATCCCCGTGCCTCGGAGAGCACGTAAAGCCGTCGGTCCTGCGCCTTAACTCTCACTGGTCGTGTCGAGCAGTCGTCCCACCGGAGTGTGAGAGTGATAGGAATAGAGAGTGCACTTGTGTCTGCGCGTACACTTGAGCACTATAATATCTCCTGCGCAGTTGGCTAATCTCAATGAGATTGGCCGCCGTAGCCGAAATCGGCTAGGAGAACATCATCATCACTCTTTATGAAATTCAATTTAATTTTTAAATAATTAGGATAGGTAAGATATTAAAAAAAAACGTGTGTGTGTACTTATATACGCACATAAGAAGTTATACTTCTTTGGCGTAACAGAACAAAAATAGCTAAAGATTTCATCCCGTATGTCACAACTCTCTTGTTTGTAAACGGAATGACAAATTTTAATAAAAATAATCAAATAACACATATTAAGCATATTACAATAATAAATTTATAGAATATCATTTAAGGAAAGAATATAATATATATATCATTTGTCAGACAATAACAACGGTAACCACAACGTACCGCCGGTAACGGTAACGGTAACGCCAGCTTACTCTCCAAGACAAGCATGCGTAAAGAAGTTTTACTTCAAAAAGTCATGCAATATCGCACTATATGCCCTTAAAATATCACCCAAATCCTTTTTAGGGTCCCATAAGGTACTGGAGATATTTGTATGAACCCTAATATCTTCATGTCACCAAACTATATTTACGGATTTTTTAATAATCCTATTCCACCGACCAATCTCCTTCGCATCACCTTCATTCTACGTAAAATTGACACTGTAATTTTGCTCAAATGGTACGCTTTGAACCCATTAACAAGAGAAAGAGAATTGAATTATTATACCTTGTAATTTCACCCAAGTCGGTGAGCACTTCGATTTTACTCCTTCGTATGAGAAATCTCTTCCGCAGTATGGCCTGCAGCTCCGGCAGGTGTGAGGTGCCCGACATGTCCCATCCAAAGCTCGTCTGTTTCCCGTCACAGTATCTAACGCCTGTAGTTTTAAAATAGGACTAATATTATAAAAATCGGTGGTGACACACGGACAGACAGACGGACAGACGGACAAGAGGTACGGAACCATAAAAATGCAAATGTTTTGTATGTGTGTATATATGTTTGTTACGACTGGAGATATTTGTATGAAATTTAGCACATAAAGACTGTGACTGGAGTAACATGTAGGTTATTTGTCGTCTTAGTAACAAATAAGTTTGTTCAAACGAGCAATATTTATTGTACTTTAAAGTATTTTTTTTCGCTGATATCAGAGTGGACCGAGGGAGCAACCCCTTGGCTGTGAGGTTTACGACCCTGCGACGCCCCATTAAGACGGTGGAAGTTCTGTTGGGTTTTAGTGGGTAGTACTGGCTTCTGTAGCCGGTGAGTCCCAGAAATGCGTAAAAACATTTCCCAATATTTAAAAAAGGCACGGGTCATATTACTATTTGCCACTAACAAATTCACAAACATATAGACTTACCAAATTGTATATATGTGTTATACGAATTAAAAACACTCGGTTCTATGAGGGCCAATTGCGTATACAGTTCCGAGGGTCGACTTAAAGCTGGTGTTCCACTGAGCAATATGACGCGCGCACATTTACTGCCTATACTCATCAGGGCGGACGTGCATTGTGCTTTGTAAGACTTTAAATAGTGAGATTCATCCTACAACATACAAATATATTATGATTTACGTGATTCCATAAATTCTTGTCAATAAGTTGATCCATTTAATGTTAATGAAAAATGAAAAAAAAATAGCTTATATTATATGTATAAAAAAACTTCATATATGTATAGATAATAAAAAAAATATCCTATACACAGACTAAAGACGTGACATAAACCACCAATAATTCTACAACTAAGTGTCTAATGGAAAAACTGCCTCATAGCTCAAATTGCTGCAAATTGGTTGGCTGGAAAGTTATGACAACTAATTCTGACATACTGGTATATTTTTTTTAATTTACGTTGAATAAGGTACTTACATATTCTCGATTTTTTTTAAAGTCAAAAAAATACATTTTTTTATGTACCACAATAACGATTATTAATATTATTATATTTACTTACTACAATGACGACGCCAAACTTCTTTTTCTGTAATAATTCCTTGTGAGTACTTGCTATCTTGTAACTGCTTATGACAACTTCAGTCTAGAAAAAAGAAAATGAAACTACAATTAAATCCTTCGAAAACAAAACCACTTGAGTTAATAATAATTATAAGTAAAAAAATATAAATCTATAATAAAAAAATAATTCTAATAACAGATGCGAAAATATGTGTTTGTCTGTTTACTTAAGCAGCTTAAGCGATTTTGAAGAAATCATTAATAATGGTATTGACCATAGTAAGACATTTAAAACTATCTTTTTAAAATAGACGTGATGTAAAATGAGCGTAGGAAAAATCTTGTTAATTAAAAATTACACATTAAAATGATCATACAAATCTATCCCACGGGAACCATACATTTTCCGGGATAAAAAGTAGCTTATATGTTATTCTGATGTATGAGCTATATTATTGTAGTTTCATTAAAATCCATTCAGTAGTTTTTGCGTGAAAGAGTAACAAACATCTATACATCCATATATCCAGACATCCATCCATACATTCTCACAAACTTTCGTATTTATAACATTAGTAGGATATACTCATATAAATCAGGGAGTATCGTTAATCAATAGTACCCATAATATGATCATGTTTACCTGTTTGTCGGCAACCAGCTGGCTGTCCTTGCCGCTAGCTAACAACGCGATGTTCGACATAGGCACAGACGGTAGTAATTCGTGAATTTTACTTTGCCATGTTTCTCTAAAAAAAGGCAACCAATTCATTTGTATTGTAACGAAACGATGAAAACCCGAATTTTCAAAGATAACATATTTTATCGTTGGTAGGCACAGTTCAGTCTTCATTCAGCCCGGCACTAATGAAATGCAATAGGTCTATTAGGTATCTTCGTGATGAGAGTCCAATATCTGGGATATAGGCTGGACCAGTTGCCAGAAAAAAAAAATTAACAACGTCAAAACAAAATTAATTGTGTAATATTTTAAAATATATTCGAAAATAACATTAAAAAATTTAAGTAATAGTATAAACAATGTTTAATAGACAAAAAAATGGAAAGTGCATGTTACAAGATTTCTGCGATAACATTCAGACAAAAAGAGACAATAGCATTCCCAAGGAGGGTTGACGTCAGGCAGGCGGCCGGTCGTAAAACTTTTGCCAAATCCTATCAGCAGTACAGAAGATGTGCTGCGCCGACCCCAAGTGATTGGGAAATGGGCATGGAGAAGAAGAAGGCTGGACCAGTTGCGTGAAATTTAAAGTTAATAGATTTGAAGTATTAGATTTAATTGAATTTATTTATTTATTTATTAAGACCAATATAAATGACAATAATACAAATATAATTAAAATAATACAATAAACACAGTATAATTGTATTTCTTTTTAGGTAATCACAACATGCGTAGAAACAAAGGAAAAATTTGAAAAATTTGAAAAAAAGGAAAAAAATGAAAAATCATTTAACCTAATGATCATATTTAAATCATACATAACCAATTTATATTGCACTTGCGTGTATAGAAAAAAGACACTGGCTTTTGTTCAAATGTTCCCTAGTAATGTGAATTTTCGTAGAGTTCAGTGAGATTGGATTCGAGATTTGTCTTCTATTTATCATCTCATATGCTTCTGCTGATAAGAACAGTTTGAAAATTTGCTTCACTAAATGAACAAACTTTAGAAGGAGACCAAGCTAATATGCAGCCAACGTCTCTTTTCTATACCAGTTCTATGGATTTTAGTGAGAAAGTTTAACATTCTTTCGCCAGCCGTCAAGAGGCAGGGGACTGTGAGACTCTTACTGAAACCCACTGAATCCTACATCCAACCAATCCACAGTACTTTTTAATACTTCTCTATTAGCTTGATTTGGATCTACGATACTAGATTTAAAGGTCGATCTTATGGTTTATATTCTAATTATGCTTCCGGTTCTAGGATTTGAAATTTTACAAATATGTCTAATATTGGTGATAAATGATAATACAATAATTTGATGCCAGAAGATAGGAAGATCTTCAATGACTACTAACTACTAGTAAAGCTCCGCAGTTTTTCGATTCGATTCTTTGATTGTTGAGTAATCACTAACATCATTGTTACATCAATTACATATGTAACGAAACTTCATTATAAAAATCACAACATATTATTTATACTCTTAAAATCCATTAACGAGAAAATTCAATTGAATCCATTATTTTTTTACTAAACGATAAGACTTACCTCATAGATGACGTAGTAATGATAAGTAAAGGCCAGTTCGGTCTGTAATAGCTCGCTATCGCTAGAGCCTGGAATGTCTTCCCGAGGCCCATTTCATCGGCAATCAGACAGCGGCCTTGACGTGCTATTGCGAACCTATAAATATTATTTATAACCAACATCAGACGTAATAAGTTATTATAAAATACTATCAACTTATTCTCGCTTCCCTCGAGTGCGTAAACTTGAATGGTAAAGGAATGCATAAAAAACAAACTTTCAAAGAAAAGTACATTTTTTTGGTCAGGAACTTTCGCAGGCGTATACAGAATAACCTCCAGAGTTTCATCAAAATCAGATTAATGGTTTAAGAACGTATAGAGGACAAACATACAAACATTTATTTTTATTTACATACAAGATAAACTAAGTATATATTGCAAAGGCAGTACTACCCACTAAAACCCAACAAAACCTTCCCCCGTCTTAATGGGGCGTCGCAGGATCGATTACGCATTCAACTACGACGCCCCGACGGCAGGTCTGCTGAGGCAGACCACAACGACCATGGGATTGCTCCAAAGTCCACTCTGCTATCCAGAGAAGTACCAGGAGCAACCCGCATGGTACACCGCCCTCCGAAGAGGGTCACCTCCCACCGCCCACCGAAGTGGGCCACCTCCCTGTGCGTTTCTTGGCTTCGCGCCCGGCTGTGTTGCCGGGCACTACTGAGCCCCCCCACCACGACAAGGTAAACGCACGTTGGGGGGGTACTTCCGGTTGACCTAGAAGTGATTTTGTAAGGGTTCTTTTTTACCTTTTGAGGTACGGAATCCTAAAAAAAAATGGTATATTAGAGAGTAAATTTTAAAATTTATATATTTTATGGTTTCAATTTAGTACTTATAAAATGCAGGTTTTAAGCAATGTTACTTATCATATATATATATATATATATATATATATATATATATATATATATATACTCTCTAACTTTTTAATTGGCTTATATTTCCCTAATTAAAATTAGGGAAATATAAGCGAATTAATACGTGCATAGTTATTTTTTTTGTTATCTATATTCTATATCTACTATTATAAAGAGAATGGATTTGCTTGTTTATCTATACTAATATTATAAAGAGGTAAGTTTGTGAGTTTGTGACGTTGTAGGGGGTAATCTCTGGACCTACTGAACCGATTTTCAAAATTCTTTTACCAATAGAAAGCCACGTTCTTTCTGAGTGTCATAGGCTATATATTAACCCGAAAAATGAAAAGGCTTTTTCGTGGTAGTCGGATTTGCAAAGTAAGTCGGAGAAAAAACGGTCGAACGAAAACGTTTCTTACGAACGCTGCCTTAACGATGAGAGATATATGATTATGTTCTAGAGAAAAGTTGTAGAGCTTAATAATGCCTACAAAAAAGTAAGCGACAGCATATGTCTAACTTTTATATTTAAGTCACAAAAAGTAGTTTTTTTATATTAAAAAAATAATTTAAATCGGTAAGTCATGTTTATTGGTCATATTATCAACAATTATGAATTCTTATCAAAATAAGTAAATTTATCGTCTAAAATGTTTAAAATAAAAGACCTTTCCCTTTTACTGCATATAATTTGGACAAATGGTTAAAGAGATAATACAACATTTTCGTAAGTTAAAAAATAAAAGACCTTTCCCTTTTACTGCATATAATTTGGACAAATGGTTAAAGAGATAATACAACATTTTCGTAAGTATGGACGAACCCGAGCGAGCTGTTTATCTGTTTTTCTCTTTGTACGGGCTAATCTCCGGATCTATTGGACCTATTTAAATGAAATTTTGCATGGTGGTACCTTATATCCCCGGGCAACATCTTAGATACTTTTCGTACCGGAAAATTAAAGAGTTCCCGTGGGATAGTTAAAAAACTATAACAACTTATACAGCTTAGTACACAAAAACTACTGATTGGATTTTAATGAAACTTTACAATAATATAGTTCATACATGACAAAAACAAATCAGCTACTTTTCATTCCGGAAAATTAAAGAGTTCCCGTGGGATAGTTAAAAAAATATAGTAACTTATACAGCTCAGTACACAACAACTTATGCACCTAATTTAGTAAAATTTGGCATGCTGATACCTTATATTGCAGGTCAAACAACAGGTTACTTATTTTATTTTATTTATTTTATTTTTATCTCGGAAAAATGAACGGTTCCCGTGGGATAGATCTGTTTGTGCTTTTCTAGAGGTGAACCCGAGCGAAGCGAGGGTGAGCCGCTAGTAGGTGATAAACAGAAAAATTACAGAACCAATACCTTATATAATTTAACACCTCCAGGTAAATTTCTAAGAAATTAATTAATATTCTAAGAAATCTATTGTTAACTGACACGCTGGCGTGTCCGCGGTCGTTGAGAGATTAATAATGAAAAATGATAATAAATCATGACTTTTATAAAATAACTAACGACTCACAGTGAAAGTAACGACTAACACTAGTGAAAATTTAGGTTTGTATGTATTTTTAATGCCGAATCATAAAAATAATTTAAATAAAAAAATTTGACCAAAAAATATTTTTTTTTTTTGGGGTGGACCACCCTTATCACTGTAAGGGATATGAAAAATAGTTTACATCCTATTCTCAGATCTACTGAAAATTCACACAAAATTTCATAAGAATTGGTCAAGCCGTTTCGGAGGAGTTTTGTTACAAACACTGTGACATGAGAATTTTATATATCAAATATAAATATAATATATATCTACCTTACTCCATCTTCTTGGAATGGCATCAATTTATTTCTTACAGTTTCCTCTATTGGTGTTAAATCCACGTTATCAGGATCCAGAATTGGATATTTAAGTATCTGTAAATAGTACCAAAATATTTTTTATTTTCTATAAGTAAAAAAATACCAATATATTTGTATTCAGCCCTTTTTAACATCCCACGGCTGGGCCGTGCCTGCCTTCAATACCAGGGGAATCAGGCCATAGTCTACCACACTGGCCAAGTGTGGGTTGGCAGACTAGACATGTCTTTCGAAAACTTACTAAGTCAGACATGCAGGTTTCCTCATGATGTTTTCCTTCACCATAAGGCAATCATGTTGGAAATGATTCACACATGAAAACATCAGAGATGCGAGACCCGAAATTTGGACCCACTTCACTCGGTTGCCCAAGAAAATGTGCTAGTATTGTACTACAATTGCCTTTTTTTATTTAATAGATAAAAATTTAAAATTATGATATGGTAAAAATTGTACAATATATAATACAAGTCGTTCGGTTAACAATTAATTTCTTAGAAATTAACCACAAGATGTTAAGGAGCTCTTGAGAGAAATATATACATACCATAAATACTCAAAGGTACAAAGAAAAATGAATTCCAACTCATAATTTATATTTTAAACTCATAATTTATATTTGATATTTTATATATCAAATGACTGTGCATGCATAGTTTGGACAAAAATATGTTGATAAAATACAAAAAAATTAAATTGCATAAACAAAACACCTGAATATGTAAAATGATAACTAAAAAAGGTGATCTTTGTATTATCATAATATATACTAATATTATAAAGCTGAAGAGTTTGTTTGGTTGAATGCTCTAATCTCAGGAACTACTAATCCAATTTGAAAATTTTTTTGCATTAGACAGCCTTTACCATCCATCCATACCATGATCCATGATCCCAGAAAAATGTATGGTTCCCGTGGGATAGATTTCTTTGTCTAGGGATGAACCCGAAACGAGGGTGAGTCGCTATACATATATATATATATATATATATATATATATATATATATAGCGACATAAATAAGCGATATATATATATAACAAATCTAACAAGGTAAGCTTCATCAAAATCCTTACAGCCATTTACGATATATTTTTTATTATATATATATATATATATATATATATATATATAGCGACATAAATAAGCGATATATATATATATATAACAAATCTAACAAGGTAAGCTTCATCAAAATCCTTACAGCCATTTACGATATATTTTTTATTATATATATATATATATATATATATATATATATATATATATATATATATATATATATATATATATATATATATAGTTTAAACACAACTTCTCTTTTCCTCACCAGTGTCTGGAAATAATATACCTTTAAAACAAATGATGGTAATGAAGCTATTGTTACTTGTGGTTCCAGGGAAGCAACTTTTGATATAAAGCTCTGATAATCATCAATGCAAAAACTCCATAGTTTTGATCCTGTATCTGTAGGCAAAGAAACAATTATAATTATTTTTATAATTATAGATTTAAGATGAATTACTCAACCCCGTTCACAAAATCAAAACATAATAAATATCTTTAATTTCTTACAATTACTTAGAAACATTTAAAACATTAGAATGTTAATTTTATGTAATGATTTAATGCTATAAAATAAATACCATTCAATATCTCATGGTTTTATATGTGTAGAGAAAAATAATAAACAAATATAAACAATGTCTTACCAAAGGTTCCAGATGGTATAGTCTTAAAAATATTAATAAGTGGTATACAAAATTCAGATATGGATACCTCAAACCTATGTTCAGATATCAAATAAACTTTTACACTGACACCTTGACTTTGGCTTGGGGTTGGACCTAACCTTATAGTATTAGGATTTAATGCTTTATGACTGTCAGAATTAGGCTGTTCTATAAATTGTCCTGATAATTTGTCAGTAGTGGGGCTTAAATTATTTTGGTTACGATTACAGGTTACAGTTAAAGATTTAGTAAAAGTTGTTAATACATTTTCAGCAGTATGTATGTTTCCTCTATTTGCATAAGGATGGAAACCAATATTAGCCCTATTCTCACTAGTACTTCTCACAGGTCCAAAATTAGATCTTTCAGATACAAAAGGCTTTCCAGCTGGATTCTTGCTTAACTTATTTTGTCTCTTTTCTAGAGCAGCTAAGCGTTTTCTTTCTATTTCTTCTTTAGTGCACGTCATTTTTATTAGGTAAGCAAGTATATACAAATTGCTCGCATGAAATTTAAAACATATATTATTTCACTATTAGTTACAAAGTATCTAAAAAATTTTTAGCAAAGTTCTGTACATATTTTGTAGATACATTTGTAATTATATAACAGCGAGTTATTAAATATTTAATCAAATTATAACAATATTTATTTAATTAATTATAATCATTTTCATTTTTTCAGCACAATCGAATTTTTTAGCCCTGAGGGTTTATGGCAGTTGGAACATTGACATTTGACAACTTTATTTTGACTTTATTTGTCATCCATGATTGACAATGACACATTCTCTTTATTAATAAACACTATTGTACACAGCGTAAGCAATACAAGTTGTAAAGATTTACCTACTTTTAATTTTGCGCGAACTATAGCTTTAAAGTCATACAAAGTTAATAAATCATATACCACAATATATATAATGCTATAAATATTTAAATAAAAATTAATTCTTTTCATTATGACTAACGTAATAATTTTTAAGTGTGGTAAATAAGTTTGTCACCATTTTTACAATTCATTATTTATTAATTATATTTTATAAATTATACAGATTAAAATAAGATTCAGTAATAAAACCTGTTGACAAATTGACAATAGTTTTGGTTGGTTGATTGCAAACTTGGACTTTGAAATTTGAGTTTGACATTTTAATTTAAATAAATTACTCGACACCTGTACAAGTGTACAGTGGACTTTCCTATTCCTTTCTCTTCCGTTATTATAATTGTTACTAATTATGTCTGAAAAAAGTAGCCCAATTAAATATTTTCTAAGTGGTGGTTTTGGTGGTGTATGTACTGTTTTAGCAGGGCATCCTATGGACACGATTAAAGTGAGATTACAAACTATGCCTCTTCCTAAACCGGGTGAGGTAGCCTTGTACACTGGTACGTTGGACTGTTTCAAGAAAACTATTCATAAGGAAGGATTTCGTGGACTTTATAAAGGTATGTCAGCTCCATTAACAGGAGTGGCACCTATATTCGCGATAAGTTTCTTTGGTTTTGGATTGGGCAAGAAACTAATTAAATCCGATGAGAATCAGGTTCTCTCTAAACCGGAATTATTTGCCGCTGGTGCATTTTCTGGCATTTTTACTACTTCTATAATGGCTCCAGGTGAACGTATTAAGTGCTTATTACAGATTCAACAAGGTGGCAATGTGCCTCAGAAGTATAATGGTATGCTTGACTGTGCCAGACAGCTATATGCAGAGGGTGGCATTAAAAGTATTTACAAAGGAAGTGTTGCCACCATCTTAAGAGATGTGCCAGCCAGTGGCATGTATTTCATGACATATGAGTGGGTTAAAGAAGTGCTTGTACCAGAGGATGCTAGTGCCAAATTAAAAATGATAGCAACCATTGTTGCTGGAGGTTGTGCTGGAATAGCTAACTGGCTGGTAGGCATGCCAGCTGATGTTTTAAAAAGTAGATTGCAAACTGCTCCTGAAGGTACATATCCTAATGGAATGCGAGATGTTTTTAAGCAACTTATGGAGAAAGAGGGGCCAACAGCTTTGTACAAAGGTGTAACTCCTGTAATGATTAGAGCATTTCCAGCAAATGCTGCTTGTTTTGTTGGATTTGAATTAGCTATTAATTTCCTTGACTGGGTAGCACCTAACCTTTGATTGAGGTATAAAATCTATTGTATATAAAAAGTGTATTATAGAATATGTATAAGTATCCTGTTAGAATAAAAAAGTTTCAAGCTTGTTATATGGCTGTTATTACAGACAAGTGTAATTCAGATTTATATAAGTAAATAGATTTTTATTGCTATTTACAGTAAGGATGTTATTTGCTAGATAAACAAACAATGTCTCTATGAATGCTCGATATGTCAGAAATAAGGAAATCTTAACTTCATGCTTGTATCCTATTTACATGAGAATTTGGTTAAATATTATTTCTATAGCAGATTTTTGCTTTTAGATTTTTTTTTTAAATAATATATTTTTCTTACTCTTGACTTACTTGCCCTAAAATTATTAAAAAAATAAGGTTGTTGTATTTTACCTTAAGCATATTTTTACATAGATAGATTTGTTTCTTTTTAATAAATGTATTGTGCCTTTTACAAGATATCTTTTATTAATTTTCCTGTTTTGAATGATACTAGATGCATGACAAAATGGTGTTATGAAACATAATTAGTCATTATAAAGTATAAAAGAGAGAATAAAATATATATCCTTATAATTGCATGATACAAACTCTTTTACAATATGAGAGAAAAAATAATTTAAATGTTGTAAATAATAAAAAAATATTTTCAAAATTTAATATTTGCTCAACCAAATATGGAAGTCTCGCTGTAATATTAAAGTCCTGACACATACGCTATAATATTATTCAGAAAAAAGGCTAAGAACATTTCAGAATATCAGAATTTTTGTGAATGTTGAATCAATAAAATTGTCTCCGGAAATTTATTTCCCTTTGTCTGTCATTCATTTGATTGTTTTTCATTTTATTTCTATTCATTTGTCGAAGTGATTCATCTTTTAAGACTACAGTTTTGTCCTTTCTATGACCAAGTCCAATTTTATCATTTTTTTGAACAGTTTTTATAGGATATTTTTTTCCAGAACCATTAGGACCTAAACCGTCTTCTTTATTCCAACCAAATCTTAACATTAGTTGAAAACCCTTATTTGATTCAGGGATAACAAAATTTACTGCTGCTTTTCTCCCTTTACTAGCATTAATATTATGTATTGTAGATGACAAATGTTCTTCCTTATCATCATATAATTTATTATCACATATTTCACATATATATCTTTGCTTCAATTTTTTATTTCTTTGTTTATTAATTGTAACTGTTTCATTTTTGAGACTTCTTTGCTTACTATGTTGCATGAGAATGTCAGCTAATATAACATTTTTGCTTTTTATAACTAAACTTTGAGCCGAGTTACCTGCTTTATCCCTTACAGAAGTATCAATTCCTCTTTTAAGAAGTTCTTGCGCAGTTTCAATGGAATTTGCCTGACATGCTATCATAAGCAAACTCCAACCAAATTCATCAATTATATTTAACTTTTCTGGCCAACTATCTAAAATTTTGCATAATCTACCAATGTCATTATTCTGAACAGTATTAAATAAACACAAATTAGTTGACTCTGTATCATTTGAATATTTCTTAGGCGTGTGGTCGACTGGTAAAGTTTCAATATTTCTATTAATATCTTTTATTTGTTGCGAATTTTGAAGGTTTCCAACTACTTCCAAATATAACTTTATTGCTTCGTCTCCATTTAGCGAAGGAGAATTTAATTTGTTTGTTGTTTCATCAGATAAAGGACGCACAAAGTTACTATATTCTCTGCGATACATCACAATTGTTACTATAGTGGGATAACTGGCCTTAAATAACACATCAAAAGTCACTCATGAAAATAAAAATTAAATCATTATTTTAAAACAATATAAAAATATTTGATTCAATCCTTGTTGTTGCGTATACACATTACACATGACACATTTCACTACGAAATGTCAATTGTCATAGATGACAATGACTGTCACATCTGTGATCTGTCAACTCTGAAGTCTTAAAAGAATCTAAGGCTTAAAACTTCTACTTTATTGCTAGTATCATATACAAGTTTTGTATGTTTTTATTATTTTAAATAACATTTGTTTTAATTAAATACTTGGCGTTTATTTTGTTTTTATCTGTCATATGTTGTATAATATTTGTATTACGTATTTAAATTTATTTTCCAGGTTAATTTCTAAGAAATTAATTAAAATTCTAAGAAATCTATTGTTAACTGACACGCTGGCGTGTCCGCGGTCGTGGAAGGATTAAGGTATTTGGAAGCCACTAAAGAAAAAAAAATATCTAGACAACTTTAACACTAGTAGAACGAAGTTAGTTGCTTATGAAATGGCAACACATTTGTTTACATTATTGAAAACAAATTACATTTCCATTATACAGTATATAAATATTAAATTTTAGATATAATACAAATCTTATAACATGTTCCCAATATTGTACATAATAAAAAAAATGTTTGTTTGTAACATAGGTATATCATACCATTTAACTAGAGATCTGATGGTTTTAAAGTTTTCAGTTAATATGTATATCAATTCAAAATAGATATTTAAATAATAATATAATTGAAGATATTTTATTCTCAACTCAGGTGCATTTTACATTCCTCACATTCCACAACATGAAACCCTACAGATAAGCCATTTTGAATTTGACACTATATTATTTATTGTTTGTGAGTAAACGAAATAGAGAGTGCATTAGTGTTTGCATGCATAGTTGCTAATCTCATTGAGATTGGCCACACTAGGGGCGGCCTTAGCCATTGCGAGGCCCCGGGCAGTAGATCTTTGCGAGGCCCTTGTCCTTTATGGGATTTATGTGAATTGAAAATATTTTTAATGACGATGCTTGACGAGAAATGCAAAATTATCAATAAATAAATTTAGAGTTTTAAAATTGTATATTGGAAATTCAGAAAAGCACAAAGAAGATAAATTTATTATTTTGTTAACATTTTTAGTCTTCGCGTGACTTGCCATTATTCTATAAGCTCATTTTGAATATTTTTTCCGAGATGTTGATATCATTTGTATTTCTTTAGAATTCAAGGGCTCGGAGGAGCCCGGCCTTTTGGGAGACTTGTGTTCCTCAGGTTCAACACGTAGAGACCCCTGAGATTTAAGCGTTTAACATGATGCATCAGCCGGGATCCATCTCCGAATAACCCATAAGGAATTGCTCAATATGATCCGGATAATGCGTAGGGACTATGGAAAATATAAAAAACTAATAGGGTTTATGGAATGGAGTTTGGATGGGCTACAAAACTGGGCTATTGGATAAGACTATCGGGCGTCGTCCGCCTTCTCAACAGTCTCAGATTCAATATTTGGCGTACAGTTATTCGCCTCCATCTCGCGGTATAATGCCTCGGGCACAGCATCAGCGTGGTCGGCTAAAGGTGTCCAGAAATGTGCACCGGTTTCACCATCGCAAATGCTCGTGAGCGGGTTTCCTCGTTATTTTGCATATTGAGCATTTCTACTCCATGAACGAATTAACCACTGGACCAGACACTCAAACAAACAAACAAACTCAAAGAGTTGACATTCGAACACAAAACTCTGAAAATGCCAGTCGATGGCATGAGTACAGAGTTTAACTTCGCAAAACAGTACCAAATAGATCTTCCCAACCGGGACATGTGGCTAAAAAACCAAGAGTCTCACAAAAAGGGCAGTCATGTTTGGTTCACAGATGGATCCAAGAAAGGATCTGATGTAGGGTGCGGTATCTATGGCCTTAAGCCTAGATTTGACATGAGTGTCAATCTGGGCAAGGAGGCCACCATCTTCCAAGCCGAGGTCTTCGCCATCAACAAATGTGCTGAAGTCATCCTGGAGAGGAAGCTTAGAAACCAAAATATCTACATCAACTCAGATAGCCAAGCAGCACTTTTGGCTATAGATTCTCTTGAGACCAACTCTAAGCTGGTCAAAGACTGTAAGGAAAATCTGAATGTCCTGGGCACATCCAACAGAGTTACCCTCAGATGGGTCCCGGGTCACTCAGGCATAGATGGGAATGAAAAGGCTGATGCACTGGCAAGAAGGGGTGCTGAAACCCCAGTATGTGGCCCAGAACCATTTTGTGGTATTGCAAAACAACATGCCTATTCAATTCTCAAAATTCACTGCAATCGCCAAGCACTTCAAGAGTGGCAATCCACTTCTGGACAAATACACTCTAAAGCGCTAATTAAGGGATATCGCAGAAAGTTTACAAAAGAGTTGCTTCAACTCAACAAGTATAAAACCAGTGCAGTAACCAGAATACTTACTGGTCACTGCAAACTCAATAAACATATGTTTACCCTCGGCCTCAGTCAGACCGCAATGTGCAGACTATGCCATGAGACAGAGGAAACTGCTATGCACATCCTCTGCTCGTGCGGTCCACTCAAGCACCGCAGAAGTATCTATCTAGGGCAGCATATTATGCAACCGGAAGAGATACAGATGCTCCCCGCTCAGAAAATCTGGAAGTTCCTGGAGTCAACAGGACTAAGCGGAAAACTTTGAATTCACTATAGAGGGAGCTACAATGGACCTAAACTGGTCGACGTAGCTAGGGCCGACCTCGGCACCACACCCAACACAATAATAATATAAGACATATAAGCGGACGTACCTTTAACGGTCATGTCAGTAACCAGGGAATTTTAGCCTAGGTCGTTTGTTTTTTGTGTCAGTCTCAAGCACTTACTTGTCAACAAAATATCTCCCAAAAATGACTAAAAGTTCTGTTGAATGGTGTAAAAACTATACGGCGGAAGCGGCACTATTTCTTTTCACTTGTAAATACATTATTTTATTACATTTATTGTTATTTATCACAAAATTTAATTAAATGTAAAATAAAATGTCATATTATCCAACTATGTTAAATATAGTCGATATTTCTATGTATTGTTGACATCTGACAACCATCATAAACGGGTTGGATTATACCATTCAGAACAAATGACAAAACTGTCGAGTGAGTCCATTTGACATCGACTAGTGCTTGACAATGTCGAAAAATTACCGATATTTGACGAAATAACTGAACGAATTGTGTTATTTGTACAGTACAATAACATAAAATACTTTTATCACAGTATCCTACAATCTGATGACAATAAATTTATAAAAATATTTTCTAAATCAAATAAAAATATAAATGCAAAAATTATAATTAGTATGTGTACTTAATTTTTTATTTTATTTTATACCACATGTATATACTTTGGAATATTATTCCATTGTAATAATAATAAAGATCATTTTATTTCAACACATAAATTACACAAAATATAACAATAATGTTTTAGCACTAAACTTCTGGGTTGGCGATTTGTAATAAAACACTTTACCACTTGCACTAATTATTTTACTTTCACGATCCAACACTCACTTTTTCACAATTTGCAATCACTTTTTCTTTTTCCTAATTTCACAAATGTTTATTAATAACTGAGCAATATTAGGACAGTGTCACATTTTTATAACTACCCGAGACAATCAATTGCCAATTAAAATAGTTCAATAACAGAATCAACAAAATCACTTTATTTAATTAAATTAGCTTAATATTTTTTTAATCTTTACAAAATAATATTTATTATATATTAATGGAATATACACCCGATATTCACTTGTTTATTAACACTATTATAGGCCAACAGAATGTTACTATCAATGCCATCGTATTTATATAAATCAAATTAAAAAATAATTATTATTTAACACATTATTATTGCCTCTTTAATTCATTTATTTTAATTTATTATAATAAATACAGATATTTTAAATTAAAAGATGTAAAATATGATGACTATGCTAACCAATGTCTAAAATGTCATTCATTGGTTCATCGATATATGTATTTTATCGATTACGTTCACGCACTAGAAATATTGTATTGTGTATCAGTGTTTATAATAATGTAATAAAATCTTTGTGTGCGTTATGCGTCACTTGGTTGAACTAGTTTTCATACATTTGTATTTTATTTTTACGTCAGGTCCAGTCTCTAATTCGTCCATGTTCTACTCTTTCAAGCTCTTGGCTCTTGCGCTTCACTCTGGAGGGCCAAAGACTATGGGCTAAAGAGTCAATAGATGTACAGCTTTTTTAAGCCAGTCTCTAAATTTAACCATCCGTTCACACCCGTTCTCTAAATTTAACCATTTTAACATACGATCTTTTTGCAGTCGACTAGATTAATGAAAGTTTAAATATTTATCCAAGTTTTCCCAATTGAAAACTTCTGCACAGGACCTAATTTTTTATATTCTATTCTGAACAATCGACAGAGAATGCAGTAAATGGCATATTTTGTTTGTGAATTAATCATCCAGTGCCTGTCTAGTTTTTCGCCATTAGCTAATATTTTATTGTAATGATACCTATTCAATGAATGAGTCTTTCTGTATAGTAAGTCTCAGTAACAGCCCGGAGTTGAGAAGTTGGCGGTGTTTCACCCCCGTGCCGAGGCAGAGCACGTAAAGCCGTCGGTCCTGCGCCTTAACTCTCACTGGTCGTGTCGAGCAGTCGTAGTCGTCCCACTGGAGTATGAGAGTGACAGGAATAGAGAGTGCACTTGTGTCTGTGCGTACACTTGTGCACTATAATATCTCCTGCGCAGTTGGCTAGACTCAATGAGATTGGCCGCTGTGGCCGGAATCGGCTAGGAGAACATCATCATCATCATCAATGAATCACCGTCCACTATCGTTTGAAAGAAATTCTGTCTTAGAACGGATTAGACCTTTCAATGAAATCTAAGTTCGGTCTGCATTAGTAATTATTGATGGCCATAAATTTGGGTCATTTCAAGGATTTAGATTTTTAATGCCGCCACTGGATGTAGACATAGATTTAGATACGTATTTTTGGCTGGATAGTGTTAACGACGGCGGCGGCGGTGGAGTAACAATGATGTTGCTTACTCACTGTTGTTGTTGAAAAAAATATTTCAACTGGGTTAGGGTTAGAATGCAATAACATGTCACTTTCAGTCACTAAAGAGTATCATGGACTTAGAAGCTTCTTGACCATTGTCTTTTATATATTTGTACAAATACACATAAAGATATTCTCTAAATGCTTTCTTTTGATAGCTTGTTGCCTTTTTGAACTATCGAACTATTTTTTTCTACTGGCATCACAATCGGCCAAACTCAGTTTGAAAATCTTTTTTGCACATAAAATTAATAAAAAAATTACAAGCACTTTTACGCAGTTTTTTTACTAATTCACTTACTTTACTATTATTACTTATACTTAATAGTGCAAGATTTAATATTTATAAAGGTTTATTGAAAGATATGTGATATGTGCTTGTACTTGCACGTTGTGGGATTTTTAATACACGGCGTAAGGCACGAGATTCTAATACACTTGGGTTGTTGTGCGAAGGCGCGAGGCCCCTAAAAGCGCGAGGCCCCGGGCGATTGCCCTGCTCGCCACCCCCTAAGGCCGCCACTGGCGCCACAGTGACCAATTATTATATCCTCACCCTGAATGGTGTATTTTGTACATACATATACATGATTATCAATTTGGTCTCTATACTGACTACTAAACTGCTACATATTTGCAAATACTTTAAATATCCATACTAATATTATAAATGTGAAAGTGTGTTTGTCTTTCTTTCATGTCGAAACGGAGTAACGAATTGGCGTGATTTTTTCTGTGGAGATAGTTGGAGGGCTGGAGACATAGGTTACTTTTTATCGCGGGAGATTATCTCACTCCTACAAGAAAACACGTTATAATACAACCAAAAAAAAAAAATTATCAAAATTACTTGAAACTTGGTATTAATGCTCTTCAATACAATTAAATAAAAACTTGTTTAGCATTTTTCGAAACTCATCCATCATCGGGAGTAAATAGGGGATAAAAGTTTGTACGAAACCTACCTTTGTAGAGTTCTTTTTTGCAGTTTTAGCTCAAGCGAAGCCGCAGGTTCTGCTAGTTATGTATAAGTTGTTCATATGTGCCACTATTCGGGTAAAATAATTAAAATATTAAAGAAGATATGATTGATACAATATTATTATGTAGAATACAAGAGTATAATTAAATCACAAACCTCACATTAATAAAAACTGAGAGTCTTAGAGATGTAAAATAAATTAATGTTTCTTCTAATTTCTAATATCACTTTGATAGCTCTTTGGCTATACTCTTTAATGCCTCTGTCTGTTCTTTTAACAATTGCAGCTTTTGTCTCAAATAATCTTTTTTAAAGTTTAAGTATTCTTCCTTAATCTGTATTTTTCTCTGTTCCTGAACTGCTAATATATCACAATTAAAATAACAAGACTCAGAATTTTTTGAATTATGTTTAGAGCTACTTAATTTTAACTTAGAAGACTTGTGTTCAAGTGTATTAAAAACTTTTGCTTCGGGAGGAGACTCTGGTTCACTGATAAAAGGAACAGATATATCATCATTAAAGATGTCATGTTGACTATCACCCATAGGCACAAATTCTGGAGTCCCATGGTAATCTTCTGTAGATGATGTATTTTTGATATCTAAAGCTTCTTGCTCAGTGGGAGTTAATATAACTGTCGATATTGGCAATTCTCCATTAGTTTCAGCTTGTTTTTTCTTTGTTTTTGATCGTATATCATGCCAGGTCTGAAATATAATATACATAAAGTTCATTTTATTTTTTCAATAAATTTAATGCATAAGTTTATTATGATGGTGCTTTTTATAAATTACTAGCATTGCCCGCGGCTCTGTCCGCGTTCAGATGACCGAAAACCAAATTCTTAGGTCTTACATATTAATATACTCTTACATTATAATTTTTGTATTTTTTCTCAGAAATGAGATATTTTCCCGCGGTAAAAAGTATCCTATATGTTCACCTGGATAACCAGCTATCACTATACCAAATTTAATTAAAATTCCTCCAGTGGTTTTTCCGTGATGCGGTAACAGACAGACAGACAAAAATTCTAAAAACTATTGATTCGGCCTCTGTATCGAAAATAATGTCTATTTTAATAAGATTTTCCAAAAAGTATTAATGTACAGATTCGGCCTAGTAAGAATTTTATATTATATGTATAAATGTATTATAGTAAGTATATATAGCTGTGTAAAAAATCATACTTTTCTCCATTGCCGCCAAGTTTTCCTTGCGCCTGGTATGGCATTGCATTCATTTGCAATGTTTTGCCACAATTTGTGTGAATCTTCATAGTTAAAGTCCTGCGTCACTTTACACGAAATTAGTTCAGGATGTTTTGTCATTAGTTCAATAAGTTTCTTTTTCTGACGAGCCGTAACATATATACACCTCTGTCTTTTCTTTCCTTCCATTCTTCCAAAGATAGCTGATAACGTATTCGAGTAAAGTCAAGTTTCCATATAATTTTAATGACTAATAATATAAAAGAAATATATAATTATATAAATAAAATTAATATTACAATAAATTTTAGGTATAAGCAAACTTAAATCAGTTATTTCTTATAGTATACATCTTTTAAGTAATTTATAGTACTTGCACTCTATACACTTTGTTTACTTTGGAGTTTGGGTCTTTTTTCTTTATAGTTTACAATTTATATGTCACTGTCAGTTCAAAATCACAAATAAAACATAAATTATTATTAAATTAATCAGTGTAACCAGCATTAATCTTTTCCCTTCTCTTCTCTAAAGAGCAATCCAAAAACTTAACACGAGTAAATCAAAAGTTAGCGAGATGGAAATATATTCAATAAATATTTCTATATTTTAACTTGAAACTTTTGAACGAGTCTACTATAAGTATGTATATTATTTCCAATTGAAAATAATGTTTAGTAGTTTTAAAAATAATATTAGTAAATAATAGTATCCCTTGATGCGCACATTTATAATAATACAGAAGTTTTAAGAATGGTTTTTTTTTCGACTTAATACAAAAATATCATCATACCGGTATCTTATTTTTGCATATACGGAGAGATCCTGTTGGATGGGAGAGATTGTTTAATAGGTAGCCGGTAGTACAGGCTTTTTTGACCAGTAAGACCTACATATACCTGTATATATGCAGGTGGTATGCGTAAATGCATTTTCCAACGTTAAAAACAGAGAGAAATTTTATGCTAGCAACATAGACATTTAAATGTCCGTTCAATTTAATCCGTTCAATAATTTGTGGAAAAAAATAATGAACCAATTTAAAATATATATTGGTTTAGAACTAAAGTTATAAGATAAGTAATTTATTTCACAATATCTGTAAATTATATCATTAATTGATAAATGTTTTGATAATATTATTGAAACGTATTAATATATTTGGTGTGAAGTTTGCATGTAACGAATCGTTATATCGTGACGTTTGTAAGTGGACTGTCGAAATAAATTATCTGTTGCGACTTGCGGTAACTGGCAAATCGAGTTCAGTCGATGAATGGAGGAAACGTATTTAATACGCATTTACGTTACCACAATAGTTAAGAAATTGTGTAGACTCCATTTGTAAAAAGCGTTAGTGTTGTACAATTATGATATAACGACGTTCTGATTTAAAATTTGTATAGTGAAGTTAGTTTAACAATGGTTGGCGTTAGTGAAGCTGTTTTGCGAAGATTTCTACCATCCATCTTCGGATGTCTGTTTCTATTACAGATAGCACAATACGTAAGTACTTTCCTTATTTTTTATGGTTCCGCGTTAATGAACTCATTTTCCATTGAAAATACGTAGGAAATAAAAATTAGTATACCTTGTTCATTGAGGCACATTATTCTTTTCTGTAAGTTTACCTACATTCACCTTGCAAAATTAAATACATAGTAATCTCAAGGCGATTGCGCATTGATGAGGAAATGATATCATAAAACTGGTTTGTAAAATATAAACCGATATTATTATTATTTTTTTCGATTATATTTATATTTGTAAAGTTTCATCAAAATAAACTATACTTATTTAAATGATCGAATGTAAATTTAAAAATTCAATTTTTCTTACCAATCTCTTAATTTTTCATTATTCTTTTACTATATATTGTTAGGTTTAACCTGGACATAATATAGCTATTTTTATCTTATTATTGGCAAAATAAACATTTTAAGAGTCTTTTATTTCAATGCATACACCTGAGTTTCTATTGTATTATTTAAGCACACTATGACTGATAACAATGTTCGTAGCTATATATAATATATGGCTTAAACATTTTATGAAAAGTGGCCACAATTTTGCAAATAGTTAAAGTCATTTTTAGTGTACTATAAAAGTTTACTGTAGAATTATTTTAATTTAAATGTATTCATAAATTTAACTATAAAAGCTTGCATAATATTTAATTATACAGCTAATTTAGGTTTTAAACTTCTAGATATGTAATGTAATGTCATACATTCAATTTTATTTACTTATGAAAGTGATTCATACATAGGTGTCATTTTACTGTACCAATGAAGTTTATCGGAATGATTCAGTTAATATCAATAACTAGTGGCTATTCTTGGCTTTGCTGAAATATAGAGACATAATTAATTATTGTAAAAATACATAAAGTAAATTTTTCTAAGTGAACCTATCATATTCATACCAAAACGTCATAAAATTTTAGATATGTTTGGCTCTTCATCTTTTGTATATATTCTTAATATTTCTCCGAAACCTTTCTAGACTTTTTATATTTCACTAAAGTTTCTTTGCGATTGACTGAATGGTTTAAAAATGCACTCTTACAAACAACAGGGGTACAATAATTCATACTACATATTGTATGTAGTGAAAGTACTCTATGCATATAAATAACTTGACTTTGATTTAGTTGAGTTTATCAACCTTATCTATGAATTGATATACTATAATATAAGTATATTATAGCTTAGCAATTATATTCATTGTCAGACCAAAGCCAAACAATATATTAAAAAGTTACTATTCATCATTGTCACCTTAATATAAAAAAAATGAACTAAGTAAAGATTTATAAATAAAATTCTCTTGTTTGTTACAACTGCCTTGCCCAACTTGTTTGAGTGGTGTCAGTTTGTTACATGTAAAACTTATCAATTTTAAACTTTCATGTAAAAAGTACTTAGTTACTGTTTTTTGTTATATATGTATTTAGTTTTGACTAGAACATTTATAGGGTAGTTATTATTTAAAATAATTTATTTGAGGAGAACTATTTGTTTGCATCTATTACATGGTATTAATTATTACGCAAACATGATACAAGATAAAAGCATTTTCAATATTAATAAAAATAACTATTATATCAAACCTAGTATGGTATTTTTGTTAGTTTTATATATTTTATTTATAAGAGTACAGTATAGAAATAAAGTACTATTATAATGTGTCAATTTGCTTAATGGATTGATTAATATTAATTGTCTCTATTCAAACATATCATTGGTTCATTTTATAGGGGTCTATTGTCATATGATTGAGTTAGTATAATTTGATGAAAAAAAAGATACATAATATATCTTATATATTTAAACGAGCTATTCTTGTAAATATATATATATATATATATATATATATATATATATATATATATATATATATATATAGATGTTTTTCTATTATTTTAAAACTTATCATGAATAGATCTATATTATTATTATCATTATCATAAAATCAATTAGTATTATTCTGAATTCAAAATGTAAACAATACACTTAATGGGTAATTATAAAATATGTATATGAAGTTATCTTTTTAATGAACATATATAGCAACCTCAGTTTAGCATTGTTGTCATTTTGTTTTTATGTTGATTTAAATTTGGCTTTTTTATTTAGAAATCTGGAATTTTCGCAGATTATTTTCAGATGTTTTGTCATACTATTATAACATTCTACTAATATTATAAATGCGAAAGTTTCTGAGGATGTATGGATGGATGTCTAGATGTTTGTTACTCTTTCACGCAAAAACTACTGAGTGGATTTTAATAATACTTTACAATAATATAGCTCATACATCATAATAACTCATAGGCTACATTTTATCTCGAATAAATGTACAGTTCCCGTGGGACAGATTTGTTTTTGATTTTCTAGAGGCGAACCAGAGCGAAGCGAGGATGATTTCTATTACTAGTTTCATACATATTCACTCAAGTTGAGATTTTAATCATTTAACAACTAAACAGACATACATTTAACAACTAAACAGAAGTACATTTTAGCTTAAAATAAATATCGCCCACTCATAATGTAGTGTTGACACATCAAAACAAAATAAGGAAGACAATAAGCATAACGTCATTATTGCCACTATCGCTTACGCATTCCAAATATGTAATTCATATTTCGTTTTAAATCATATATTCAAGTAAACTTGTGTGTGACGTCAGTAAAAATGCCGACATCACTCATTTGTATACTCTTCTAGTTTCCGACGAAACACTAACAAAAATTAGTTAAATTTTTTTATAGGGGGGATTGTTTATAGTAATCATATAGATTTGTGCTCATTAATATACCTAAGGGGCCTATTTAATATTCACAAACAGATGTTTATTTTTACCTGTACCAGTATCTGTGTAGACAAACAAAAATAAAATATTATGTAACATGATCTTGACGTATTTCTAAGAAGAAAAAAATATTTTTATATTTTTTTTTTATAAAATAAGTAAATCTCGCTTTTTATAAGCTTTACCTTAACCTACATATGTATATATAAATTTTGTAATGTAATAAATTGTTGGGTTCAATTTAAATTAAAGTATATTTTCTTCTTTTTAATGGCATTTAAATAACAGCTTGTTTCTTTTTTTTTTACTATTAAGTATTAATTTATTTAAAAAAATATTTCATGTACAGATTAGATATGAATAAAATAATTTAAAAAAGCAATTTATGTCAACAAAGGTTTCAGCCATTCAAGCAAGCATCTAATCAGCCTAAAACCTAAATCATGCATTTGCATTATAAACCGCAAGATGCTGTGTCAGTAAACATATCAATAGTATTGCGTATGTTTGCTTCAAGGTCTGTAATATAATCGCATGTTCAGACTGCAATTAATTTCTTTTCCACGACATAAGCACAATGAATGATTAAAATTGGTTATACTTAATTAACACCTCCAGGTAAATTTCTAAGAAATTAGTTAAAATTCTAAGAAATCTATTGTTAACTGACACGCCGGGGTGTCCGCGGTCATGGAGGGGTTAATTTATATAGTACTTAATGTTGTTTGTAATAATATGTACCTAACATTTATCCATACCTGCATAAAACACGATCAGTTTTTTTTGTCTTTTGCTCTACAGCTTAGATACAAAAGCGTCTTTGAACCATGGCTTACAAAAATTTGAATATATTATGGTGGAATTATTATTTTTCATAATAAACGTATCTTAATAATAAATCACTACATATTATAAAACAAAGTCGGTTCCCGCTGTCTGTCTGTCCCTATGTATGCTTAGATTTTTAAAACTACGCAACGGATTTTGATGCGGTTTTTTTAATAGATAGAGTGATTCAAGACGAAGGTTTACATGTATTATACATGCATATTATAGTACAGAATAACCAAGAAATTGAAAGATTTCTATTTCATACTAACCGTTTTAACGTACCTAGGAACGAACCCGTATTTTTAAAGCTTTTTCTTTTATTATTTTTTCTATTCTATTTATTGCTTTTGGAAAAAATCTATATGGAATAATAAATAGTTTTGAGGTCATGACCTTCAGAGCAATAGGTTTTTTAAACTTACATTGAAAATGTTAAATAATTTGATGACTATTTGACTAATTTGAAGATAATTTGACTAATCTATACATAAAATTGTAACTAATCGCTGTCTTTACACGGACGATATTTAAGAAAAACTATTATTGTGGGTATTTATTAACACAATAGACCCCCAAACAATGATTTTTAGAATTTTTGTGTTTGTCTGTTTGTCTCGCTAAAACACAAAAAGGGCTGGACCAATTCGAATAATTCTTTTTTTGTTTTTTTTTGTTTTGTGAGTCACGGGTGGTCGAAATATATAAAAAAATAGGGACAATCCAAAAAAAAACAGCTGAAACTTCGAAAAGTTCAGAACTGTTTATTTATATAACTATGTAAAAAAAATATATTAATATTATTCTATCATTCCATACTAACCGTTAAAACGTACCTAGGACCGAGTGAAGCGAGGGTGAGCCGCTAGTAATAAATATAAATAGTAAAAACTAAAAAGTATTCTAAATATTGACTATATTTGGCATACTGTTTATCCAACATGAACTTCCGATTATTTCCGCGGAATAAAAAATAGGTATATTATGAAGGATCAACATAATCCTGATAAAAATGTATTTTAATTATTATAATATAACTACCATTGCCTTTGCATTACATTGCAGTTTTTGTATTTTTTCTCAGAAATGTGACTTTTCCCGCGGTAAAAATTATCCTATGTGTTGACCCGGTTAACCAGCTATCACCACACCAAATTTCATCAAAATCTCTCCAGTGGTTTTTCTGTGATGCGGTAACAGACAGACAGACAAAAATTCTAAAAACCATAGATTCGGCCTCTGTATCGATAATAATGTCTATTTCAATAAGATTTTCCAAAAAATATTCAATGTACAGATTCGGCTTAGTTAGAATTTTATTATAAGTATGTATAGATGTATAGATTAGGTAAGATTGGAT